GTATAGGTCCGGAAGCAAGTTCAACAGATGAGAGGTGCAAGAAAAGAAACTGTCAACATACAAGTTACAGCTACATCTAGCTAGCTCAAATGTAAATTGATGAGATCCATCACCAGTCTAGTATTGTGCTTGAATTCATACAGTCTAGGTACCATAGCGAAGAGCTTATCCGAACAATTACCATGAAAGTATTTATAAAAAAGGCACAGAGAGGCAACCTTATGGTAGTGGGCAAATGGCTGAAACCGAGCCACCAGACCAGGACCAATAATATTGCTGATTCTTTTTTGGATCTTATGAAGGAGCTCCAGGTAAATAGTAGGGACACCGGACCATATATGGCAGCAATATTATAAGCATGGATGAATGGTAGACTTATAGATAGTCATAAGATAGATTCTGGAGAGAAAAATTGTCTCACCCAACACAGTGAACTGACTTTCTTAGCAGCTGAACTAGCAATGGATTCAATATAGTCTTTCCACTTCATTTCAGCTGAGAACATTAGCCTGAGAAGGCACAAGTCCTTCTGCTGGAGGATAGAATCAGCCATGCTGATGGGTGGCAGCAAGGGGTATCTCAGATAATTAATAGAGAGAAATTTAGTTCTGGAAGCTTTAAAATTGATAAGCCATCTTTTACCTCCGTTAATGACAGTTTTGAGGTTGTTTTGGATACCAGCAGCCATTTTGACCTAGTTGAACTAATTAGCCTTACTATCGAGGCTGGTGTAAATGGTAGTGTCATCAGCAAAGATGCCAAGTTGAGAGCTGATGTCATCAGTAAGGTTGTTAATGAAGATTAAAAACAGCATAAGACCAACGATGGAGCCCTGGAGAACACCTGTGTTAGTATGAAATGATGTACATGAGTGGCTGTTCAGGACAACTTTCATTTCATGATTTCATAGGAACAACTGGATCAGCTCAAAAATGTCCCTGGAGATACCATAACTTTTCAACTTGTGGAATGCCAGACCCTGTCAAAGGCTTTTGAGATGTCCAATGCTACAGCTCAGGATTTACAGTTTTTATTTAGAGCATGATAGATACTTTCTGCAATTATCATTAACACATTAGCAGTTGAACTGGAAAAGCAAAAGCTATATTGCTTGTCATATAAAAGGCTCTCTGATGAGAGATGATGAACCGATTCAGCATTGATTAGAGCCTTTAGGAGATTCCCCAAAAGTGGTAGAAGGCTAATAGGCTGATAGTTGGATGGGTGGGATGGTTCACCAGTGTTCTTAAAAACTGAAACAAGAAATGATGACTTCTTGCAGGCAGGAAAGCAGCAGGCAGCAAGGCATTTATTATACAGTTTAGAGAGAACAGGAACTAGTTCAGGAGCACACTTCTTAATGACTATTACAAGGATACCATTGGGTCCATGTGCATTGTGGGTATCCAGGTTAGAGATGATAGCAGAAACCACGGAAGGTGTTATATGCATATCACTCAACAGAGACTCATTTCTAAGTGGGAAGTTAGGCATATATATATATATATATATATATATATATATATATATATATATATATATATATACAGGGTGTGTTGTTTGTTTTTGATTTTGTCAACTGCAAAGTATAGTAAGGTCAGTTGGGCACTGTCTGTGAGAATAAAGCACCATTTTGCAATTCACTCTGCCAGAAATTTTGAAATGGCACACTGTACTCTTTGGCATTCGCACCAGAAACTCCATTACAAACATTTTAGAGTATTTTGGTGTCAATCTGAGTACTGTGCAGAGGATTCAGAAAGTCTAGGATGAGTCTAACAGGGATTATGAAGGTACAGCAACTTGGAAAACTTACTCTGATCAAAAAAGAATTTCTTGGTAAAAACCTCAGACTCAACACAAAGGCCTACATCAAGTGCCTTGAAGAGACTGGAAGACCCTATATCTAGCAACAAGACTCTGCACCATGCCACACAAGCACCAAAACTCAGTTATGGCTGTCAGACAATTTCTGTGACCACATCACCCCTTGCATCCTGCCATCTATCTCCTTTGATTACCCTGCAACCCCTTGATTATTATATGTGGGGTGCAGTTGAGCGAGCACCAACAAAACTCCCTGTAAAACCAAAGATGCACTGAAAGCAAGAATTATGGCAGCATTCACCAACTTAAACAAGGAGATTGTCTAGAAGAATTGCAGGAGATTTTAAAATCATATGGAGGCTGTGGTTGAAGCCAATGGCAATTTTATTCAATAAATTCACTTAGTATTTGAAGATATTTTTGTGTAATTTTGGTAAATATATCTGTTAAAATGAAATGCCTGTGTTATTTCCATTTTTGTATAATTTAGACAATTTATCCATTGCACACTGAATATAAGTGTGTATATAAATAGTTTATTAATAATCTTAATTACTCATGTAAAGAGCTACAAGGTTATTTGCACAAATGACAAGATACTGAAAATTCTTGGCCTGACCTATTTCCCAAAATCTGAACAAATGATCAAACATCAAAATTTTGTGAACATTTCTGCATTCCTCATATAGATAAATAGATATTTATACCTTTAAATATTTTCAGGGGCTACAAAGAAGATGAAAGACTTGTACAAGTCCTAGATATATATAGGAACTCAAACTAACTGTGTTTGTGCTGACATTGCTTGTTAGCCTACTGTCTCCAAGCACTAGTCTAATTGCACTACTGATATTGTAGCATAACAAAAACTTTCATATTCTTGAAAGTGTAGTAAAATATTCAGTACCTCTTATTCAATCCATATTTCAAATTAGTTTGAACTGTAAACTTAAAGAATTAAAGCCCTTGATTAGGTATCATGGGATAGAGATTTGACACTTTTAGTAGAGAATCCCTGGCAGCCATCTCTCAGCAGGATCATGTATTCATAAACAGTACAGGTGGATTCAAAGTTGAACATATATACATGTATACTTATGTCAGTAAGCAAAAATAACTATGTCAATATATATATATATATATATATATATATATATATATGTATATCTAAATGGAATAATATTAAAAAAAAACGAAAGAATATTAATCTACAACCCAGTGTGTCTAAAGATTTTAATTTTTTAATTTTTTATTAAAAAAATATATATATATATATATATATATATATATATATATAGAGAGAGAGAGAGAGAGAGAGAGAAAGAGAGAGAAGAGAGAGAGAGACAGAAATTATAGTCAAATTAAAAGACAATACAATAGGGTAAAAACATATGTACATTGTAACAGACATAAACATTAGGGGAATTCACTGAAATGAAAATTTAACAAAAGAGTAATATTACACTGCAAGAAATAGTGGACAATTACCAGACAATTCTAAGTCTGAAATACGATAATGAAGAAATTCAGAAAAAAGAATGTACATTGGTACAAGCAAAGAACAAATGTACAAAAAGGAGAATAAATTCTTGGTTCAGATGTGCTAAATTACATCTTGGAAATGACTATCCATTTAAAAATGCAGAATGTTACAAGTGTGGTAAACCAGGACATATAAAATCACAATGCAAAACCAAACCAAGAAAAAGTTCTAACAGGAAGAAATTTGTATACAGTATTGCAATGGAAAAAATGGCCACAGAAAACAAAAGGAAATTTGTGAATGTGAAAATAAATAATGTGGGTGTGAAAATGCTACTGGACACTGGTAATGATATTTCAATAATCAGTGAAACCACATAGAAGGAAATTGGAATGTTTTTATTAATAACCACTTCCAAAGTTGCGATTTCAATTTTTGGTGAGAAATTTCTTTTTTATGACTTGTAATGTCTCATTCCATAGTAAGCAAGTAAAAATTAAAGCTTATATATTAAAAAATGCTACAAATTTATTTGGTACTGACTGGATGAAACTATTTGAATGTTGGGACTTACCAATAAATGTTTATTGTAAAAGTATAAGTGGACAAGTAAACAATTTAAAAAGTCAGTGCGAAAATCTTAAGGAAGAATTTAAAAAAATGTTTTCCAGATGTCCTGTTAAATGAACTGGGTTGGTGTTCAAAATTCAAGGTGGATTTTCAAGTGAAAAAAGATTCAATGCCAGTATTTAAGCCAAAACAGAGCATATCATTCACAGCATTGGAACATGTCAATGAAGAGTTGAACAGACTCTAAAGAATTGGTGTAATAGAAAAAATTGACCATCCAAAATAGGCTGCACCAGTGGTGTATGTAAAGAAAAAAATAATAAAATTTGTGTTTGCACAAATTGACAGGATTAAACAGTTGTTTAGAAACACATAACTACCTATTACCAAATCCAGAGGAAATTTTTTCAAAGTTAAATGGTGGAAGAATATTTTCAAAGTTGGATCTCTCTGAAGTGTATTTACAAATTCAGATTGAAAATGAATGTTCAGAATTAATGACCATAAACATGCGCAGATGATTATATATAAGTTTAACTGACTTCCTTTTGGTATAAAGGTGTCACCAGTTATTTTTCAACAAGCTATGGCTACTATGCTTGCAGATTGATATTTCACAGTGGTATATCTGGACAACATTTTAATCAAAAGTGTATCTAAAGAACAACATGTTGGACATGGTAAAAAAACTTTTGAAAAAACTAAGAGCGTATGGGTTCAAGCTCAGTGAAGAAAAATGTGAATTGTTTTTACTGAAAATTAAATATCTTAATCAAATTATTGATAAAAGTGGTCATCAACCAGATCTGTTGAGGACAAGTGCAAGAATATTTCTGTCACATATGGTTCAGTGCTCTTGCTATATATTTAGAAATACTTGACAAAGTCCAAAGAAGGTCTCATCACTTCACAGTTGAATTGGCTAGATGTAACCATAAGTTCTATGCTTACAATTTCTTTTCTTGGACTTCTCACTTGCACAACTCTCTTCCAGCTTCATGCTTTACAGCGAACTTTGATCTCCAACAATTTAAATGCAATGTCAATTGTTATCTACTGTCTTCCTGATTACTCTTCTATTGTTCTTGCTCCTTAATAATGTTTCTGTTTTCTAATTCTTTCACAGTAACACCCGTTCCCATATGATCACCAAAGTTAAGCAATGTTGAGCCTGGTCAGTACCTAGATGGGTGACTGGCTGGGGATACCAGATACAGTAAGCTTGGATGTATGGGTGGTATAATTTATAATGGCTCAGAATTCTTAATCAAAGAGATGAGTTCCAATTCCAGTTGTGTTCGTTATATTTACCTTGGTAAAGGTATGAATCCCCCTCCTCTCCCCCCAGCTATGAGTTAATTAGTAAAACTTGTATCACTAAATCATTATTATCTTAAAAAATTCTTACAATATAAAAATATTTTCTGGCTTTAAATAACCTGCAAAAGGTTGGTAAGCTGTAGAAAATAAATCAATTGATTCTATTCTTTAGTGCTACTAGCTCGGACCTTTATGGCCAAGACTCTCCTTGCCGTATTCACAGTGTTGAATCATCCTCATTTCCTACACATTCTTTTAGTAAGAAGTGCATTCCATTCAGAAATATTCTTCTCTCTCCATCTTCTACTTTGTGGAACATACTCCCATGTGGATGCTTTGCTATCACTATATCCTAGTAATCTTCACATTCTACTTCCTCCTCTTATATTCATCTCACAGACATCATTCAGTAACCCTTTAATTTTAATGGCCATTGGGTCTTGTATTATAGTAAAAAAAAAGAAATGTTTGATGGTTCACACCTGTTTTTTCAATGACTTTTTTAAACTGGTCCTTTTATTGATATTTTAGGTTACCACAGGGGGGTGGGCCTAAAAAATTCACTATATAAGGTTTTCCAGGACTGTCTTGTCAGGTTCATGTGTTGGATATGCTTCTTCCAGCACAATGTTCTATTTTGTTACACTCACAAGTACATCAATGTTTGCCACTTAATTATTCCAGCTAATACCAAAGATAGAATGAAGCATCCTTTGACCATCCTGGGTATGACGATAAACTACATACACATCCTGGATATGAGGAGAAACTACATCTGCGTCCTGGGTAAGACAATAAACTACATCCAACAGCAAGGCCTCAGGAGGTTTTGAGGAGCACTTCTTAATTGCTGGTGTTTCCAGGTCCACCCTGACCCAGGGTGGTAGCACCTGTTTGGGTCCCAGCTATGGGCAAATAGTTAACCCCCAATCTGGGTTCAAAACACTATGAAAGTGTAAAAATAGGTTTTAATACCAGCAATGAATTTTTGGAGGAAAAAATTATTCCCAGCAATGAATTTTTGAAGGGAAAATTATTACCAGCAATACATTTTTGAAAAATTATTACCAGTAATACATTTTTGAAGAAAAATATTACACGCAATAAAAATCTTGTCAGCATTAATAACCCATTGAGGTTGATATGCCGTGGAACAAACCAAACCAAACCAAACCAAACCAAGCATTCTTTGATGGAACCATTTAAGCTTCTTCTTATCACAGTTATGTTATGCCCAGATTTCAAAGTTTAAATTAAAGTAGTGAGTTTACCATTGCACAATTGACCATGACCATGCTTTGACATAAAATACTTATAATTCTTTATTGTTCTAGGTTTGATATTCAAATTATATTCATTATATTTCACTACAAGTTGCCTTAATAAAAATACCACAAGGTAATTAACAGTTATTAATTTCACAGTGTTCAAGACAAATTTAATCAGCCTGCTTAACATACATCTGAATCTGTTCATTATTCTTCTCATGTTCATTCATTAACAAAGAAACTTTAATATACATTCAAAATGGCATGGTTTTTATATGTAATTTTAGTTTTAGATTGTTAAAAAATGTAATATTAAGAAAATTAACGACACATTTCATTGGTTAAAAGTGAATTTTATTTACAGAGTATTATAATAAGATCTCTGGAATGTAAGTTTCCATATGCTGATTTGGATGAATATACAGTGTACAGCAGAAATACCTACCACATATGCCTCCCAGAAAAACCTCTTACTGTCTTACCATTATGTGGGAAGTATTTTCGTGTGCTTTATGTGGAAAGTATTTCTGTTGCACACTGTATATTGATTGAAAAATTGGTTTTGTTTTTACAGCTTATTAATCCTTTGCAGGTTATTTAAAGCCAGAAAATATTTTTACATTGTAAAAATTTTTTTGAGATAATAATGATTTACTGATACAAGTCCATAGAGGTGGATTCATACCTTTCCCAAGAGAATTTGTGCATAAGTGAATATAATGAACTTGACTAGAATTGGAACTTGGCTTTCTGATTTCTAATACTGAGCCATTATTCATTACACTACCTGCACATCTAAGCTAAAAGCACTTGGTATTCCCAAGCAATCAACGATCTAGGTACTAACCAGGCTTGATATTGTTTAAATTCAATGATCACATTAGAGCCGATGTTTCAATGTGATATAGCTCCAAGCTGGATAAGTATATAATCAAATTATATTTGAAAAGTAGAAATGTTAACTTCACACATTTCAGATGTTGAGAAACAAAAAAGTTTGATCACAGACATTACATTAGATTAAAAATGAATAGGTATTAGTGATTACACTCACAACTCTATACCGACCTGGAGCTGGAGGTGTATTTACATATGTTAGGCAATTTTTTTCCAGATACTTTTGTAAATTAAAAACTGCAGACTCTTAACAGTTTTACAGATATAAATCTGGTTAAGAAAATATTGTTTAAATTAAAAATCTCTTAAAAGAAATCTAAATGTGATTATCTGAGGTTTATAACACAAAATTTTGAACACTACACAAAGACAGTGTCATTCCAAAAATGAAGAAATAAACTGATTAAGATATTTAAGTTACATCTTTATATAAATTTAATGAAAATCCAACAAAAATTATTTACAGAAATAAGCAGACAATGAAAACTCAGATGTTCTTATCTTTCTGATTTCTGCAGGTACACCAATCATAAGGCTCAGAAATTTTCTTTATCTATTAATTGTTATCGCTCTATTTTTTTAATATTGACCATTTTGTTAATAAAAAATATACTTGCCTTTAACCATATTATACTCCAGCAATTTATTGGACTATATATTTTGCTAGACATTAACAATCTGTGATTGATATATATATATATATATATATATATATATATATATATATATATATATATATTAGAGTACAGGTAATAGATCTGTTGGTATATAATCCAGGTGGATCCTAGTAATATCACATATTAAAACTGATCCACAGAGAGCTCAATGTGTTTATTATAACAAAGCATATATATTTTTTTACAGCAAAAACCAAAATGACGATGTGGCAGGGGCGATATCACCCCCAAAATAATGATAATAAAAGAGAATATGTTGTAAAATAGAAAAAAAGGTATTTTCAAAAGAACTAAGTTGTTAAAAATGCTGTAAAGACTTTGAAATGTAAATGTTACAGAGAGTTAATTTAGAACACAAAATACAATCTTTTTGTAAGTGTACAAAGGATATCAGATTACTAATAGAAAATTACTGTGACAATGATAATTAGAACATTTAGAAAAAGAAATGGATTTTGATACATTGAGAATTGAAGTTAAAATAAAAGATGTTTTGATTTAGAATTTATTTTTGAAACAAGACTCTCTGTAGTTTACAAAAATGTCAGAGTGGTTGATAGTGAGATGATAAACAATGGAGTCTTGTTGTGGACCTTGGAAACCAAAGTAAACTGTACTTTGAAATTATGTCAGTACGTTTGCACTAGAAAAACAAATACATCACCAGTTCTCTATATAAAGAGGTGAGCCAACCAGAAGAGCGAGAGTTTTGGCTCGTCTGTCTTTGAGTGCAGTTGAGCTGGATGGAGAGATGTAGGAGATTGTAAAGGAGAGCCACAGGTCCCTCTGTCTTTGAATGTAGTTGAAGCGAGTGGAGTGACATCAGAAATTGAAAATTAAGTGTCCGCTGTGTGTTGCTGAATGGGAGGCAAAGAGTAAATTACTGCCACTAACATCTAAGTACCACTACTCCTGCTACTACTAATACTACTGCTGCTATTATGACTACTGAGAACAGGAACATTGAAGGTTGTAGTAGTTGCACTAAGAACAGACCAAAAAGGGTAAAAACAAAGCTACAGCTCTCCTTACTGAAATTATTCAAAGTATTTGTGTTTGTTTGGCTATTGTTCACATACAAGAGACATTCAACCTTGTGTAACAAGAATTATTTTTTGTGTGTGTTTGCTTTTGATATATAAAAAAACTTTTGTCCTTTCAAAATCGAATTGACTTGGTTATTTATTTTTCTGTTAACCTGATTCACACCCAATGAACTCACAGGTGGACCAAATGTGAGCTTGATATCAGTCCTCCTCTGAGAAATGCCTTGATTTTGATAAAGGGCTTATGTTTGTGACTGGGGGAGGGTGTAAAGTATCTCATTACAAGAAAGTAGTCTGGGGTTGGAGCTATTGAAAATAAATTCAAAACCCCAATTACAGACAGACACTTAAGGGTTGAAGACGGCTGGTGTCAGACCAGCTTGAAATAGACTATACCCATGTGAGGTAATTTTGGTTTTTGCTGTAAAATATATATATATATATATATATATATATATAAATTATTACATGCATGCATAATCAAAGTTCCTTTCTATGACCATAATGGCAACATCTATACCCAAACTAATGGTGTTAGTATGGGAAATCTGTTTGGCCTGTGCTTCCCCAATTACTACATATTCCATGTAGAAAACATGATATATAAACTAGTCACTGAACCCAAAATATATGTTCACTGTGTAGACAATATTTTTTTTAGCAAAAAACAAACAAGAAATAGATAATCTAAAAACTACATTTGAAAAAAAACTCAGTCCTTAACTTTACCTATGAACTGAGCCAAAAAATAAACTCCCATTCTTAGACGTTCATGTAGAATACAGTAATAACACTTTCACCACCTCATTATATAACTAGCAGAAACTCTTGCAGCTTTAATTTTAAGGGTGAATGTCCACTTATATAAAATAGCAGTTTTAAAAAATTTCCTAAGAATTCATCCTCTCATCTACTTTCCCTTAAAGAACTCAATAATGGAAGACAGACACTAGTTAACACTGGTTTTCTTAACTACCTCATTGAACAACAGATTAGATTATTTCTTTTT